CAATATTCTTGTGCCTTGTTATAATTACCAAGCGATTGAAACACTGTTCCTAGGTTTCCGTAATCTGTTGCTTCTCCTTTTCTGTCACCAATTTCCAGTCTGATAGCAAGTGCTCTCTCGTAATATTCTTGTGCTTGGGCACAATTACCAAGCAATTGGAACACTGTTCCTAGGTTTCCATAAGCCTCTGCCTCTCCTTTTCGGTCACCAATTTTCAGATTGATAGCCAGTGCTTTCTCGTGATATTCTTGCGCCTCGTCATAATTACCAATCGATTGGAACACGGTTCCTAGGTTTCCGGAAACCACTGCTTCTCCTTTTCTGTCACCAATTTCCAGTTTGATGACCAGTGCTTTCTTGTAATATTCTTGTGCCTTATCATAATTACCAAGTGATTGGAAGACTGCTCCTAGGTTTCCGTAATCCGCTGATTCTCCTCTTCTATCACCAATTTCCATTGTGATGGCAAGTGCTTTCTCGTGATATTCTTGCGCCTGGTCATAATAACCAAGCGATTGAAAAACTCTACCTGAATTTCCGTAATTCACTGCTTCTCCTTTTCTATCACCAATCTCCAGTGTGATGGCAAGTGCTTTCTCGTGATATTCTTGCGCCTGGGCATAATTACCTAGCGATTGAAATACTGTTCCTAAATTTCCGTAATTCACTGCTTCTCCTTCTCTGTCTCTAATTTCCAGACTGATGGCCAGTGCTTTCTCATAATATTCTCGTGCCTCGTCATAATTTCCAAGCACTCGGAACACTGTTCCTAGGTTTCCGTAATCCGCTGATTGTCCTTTTCTGTCACCAATTTGCAGTCTTATAGCAAGTGCTTTCTTGTGATATTCTTGCGCCTGGGCATAATTACTAAGAGATTGAAACACTGTTCCTAAATTTCCGTAATTCCCTGCTTCTCCTTTTCTGTCACCAATCTCCAGTGTGATGGCAAGTGCTTTCTCGTGATATTCTTGCGCCTGGGCATAATTACCTAGCGATTGACACACTGTTCCTAAATTTCCGTAGACCGCTGCTTCTCCTTTTCTGTCACCAATTTCCAGTATGATAGCAAGTGCTCTCTCGTAATATTCTTGTGACTTGCTATAATTACCAAGCGATTGAAACAATGTTCCTAGGTTTCCGTAATCCGCTGCTTCTGCTTTTCTGTCACCAATTTCTAGACTGATGGCCAGTGCTTTCTCGTAATATTCTTGTGCCTCGTCATAATTTCCAATCGATTGAAAGAATGCTCCTAGGTTTCCGTAATCTGACGCTTCTCCTTCTCTGTCACCAATTTCCTTTCTGATGGTAATTGCTTTCTCGTGATATTCTTGCGCCTGGGCAGAATTACCAAGCATTCGGAACACACTTCCTAAATTTCGGTAAACCGCTGCTTCTCCTTTTCTGTCACCAATCTTCAGTGTGATGGCAAGTGCTTTCTCGTGAAATTCTTGCGCCTGGGCATAATTACCAAGCGATTGAAAAACTGTTCCTAAATTTCTGTAGACCGCTGCTTCTCCTTTTCTGTCACCAATTTCTAGACTGATGGCCAGAGCTTTCTCGTAATATTCTTGTGCCTCGTCATAATTTCCAATCGATTGAAACATGGTTCCAAGGGTTCCGCAATCCGCTGCTTCTCCTTTTCTGTCACCAATTTCCTTTCTGATGGCCAGTGCTTTCTCCTGATATTCTTGCGCCTGGGCAGAATTACCAAGCATTCGGAACACGCTTCCTAAATTTCGGTAAACCGCTGCTTCTCCTTTCCTGTCACCAATTTCCATTGTGATGACCAGTGCTTTCTTGTAATATTGATGTGCCTTGTCATAATTGCCAAGCGATTGAAACACTGTTCCTAGGTTTCCGTAATTCGCTGCTTCACCTTTTCTGTCACCAATTTCCAATGTGATAGCAAGTGCTTTCTCGTAATATTCTTGTGCCTTGTTATAATTACCAAGCGTTTGAAACACGGTTCCTAGGTTTCCGAAAGCCGCTGCTTCTCCTTCTCTGTCACCAATTTCCATTCTAATGGCCAATGCTTTCTTGTAATATTCTTGTGCCTTGTTATGTTCACCTAGTAACGTAAACAGGTTCCCGATGTCTCCGTAAACGTTTGCTTCTTCTTTCATGTCACCAATTTCCAATGCGATAGCAAGTGCTTTGTTGTAATATTCTTGTGCCTTGTTATAATTATCAAGCGATTTGAAGAATGCTCCTAGGTTTCTGTAAGTCGTTGCTTCTCCTTTTCTGTCACCAATTTCCAATTTGATAGCAAGTGCTTTCTTGCAATATTCTTGTGCCTTGTTATAATTACCAAGCGATTGAAACACTGTTCCTAGGTTTCCGTAAGTCGTTGCTTCTCCTTTTCTGTCACTAATTTCCAATGTAATAGCAAGTGCTTTCTTGTAATATTCTTGTGCCTTGTTATAATTACCAAGCGATTGAAACACTGTTCCTAGGTCTCCGTAAACCGTTGCTTCTCCTTTTCTGTCACCAATTTCCAATGTGATAGCAAGTGCTTTCTCGTA